GGTGACGGAGGTAGCTTGTTTCCTGTCTATGGTCCTGTGCAGTTAATTCAAATCACTGGAGTCAATTCCTCAGCCATTTAATACAAGTATATTAAGTCTCCCCACAATAGATGCTGTAGACGGGGTTATTGCCGCCGTAAAGTTTGTGCTCTCTTACTGTACCCAACAGGATTGCTATGCCAAATAAAACCAGCACAATTGAATAAGGAAAAGGAGGTCTTTCGGTTTAAATGTGGAACTGTCAAAGAAAGAAATATCTAAAAAGAAAATGGAAACGAGGAATTCTTATAGGGGGAAATAACCCCCAATTACAAAACAAAGAGCAGCATTTTTCTTGTTCTCCTAAAAAAGTAAAGGACCCTGTTTTTTGGAGGAAAGATGGTGGTAAAAGGCATATTCATATTCTGCCAAAATAACGTCTCGGCTCCAAAGAATGATGGATTTTAATTCCAGGTACACAGTGGCCCTGGACAATGATTTCCATTTCTATGTTGGCACTAGCCCTCTGGATAAATGTGTCGAGTTTTAGGAATTAGTTTCTGAGTTACTGATGCAATAACTTTTGTCTGGAATTCTCTGGCCTCCTATAGTTTACTGCTGCAACTTTAATCACTTTCAGAGCAGTTGCCAAACATGTATTTTATATCCAGGGAAGTTGGGATTCTACAAAGGGCAAGCTGATACCTGGGGTCAGATTTGTTTAAGAGACAGCCCCAAACTCTGGTGAAAACAATCCCAAGTTCTCTTCTTTTGCTGCCTCCACTTTCTTGGCTTACAGCCCCATGGTCATGAAACTAACTCACTAGCATCCCACTCCCTGGGCTTTAGCTGATGGCACCTGTACATTTCCTTGAAAGTAGAGGGAAGGCTAATTCTGACCCAGTGCCTCCTATAAACCAACAGGTAGCTGTGTCCATGTGCTGGGGATTTGTAACCAACTAGGCACTGATGCTTCAATCCACCAACCTGACAGTGTGGGGAGTCCATCTGGACATTAGGAAGCTGGAAGGACTGTACGGACACCCTGCCACCATCTATTATCTTCCACCCATCTCTCTAGAGCTCTCCAGGTTCAAGTCCAATGCTGCCTCTCATTTGTCTGATGACTTTGACCAAGGAAGACACTTTGCTCTAAAGACCTGAAATTTTGGATACTTTCCGATGAATTGTATTCTCCACCAGAAAAAGTGTCTCCAACATTGCATGGATTTGCTGAGAAAACAAACACCTTGACAACACGTCCTTGTAGAGTGGTCACACCCTAACAAATAGCTAGAGTCCCCCAGAAATGGAAGTGGGGTTAGTTGTTGAATGTTTTGGTCTGTTTCTGAAGGCTAGATGTAGTATGGAGAAAGGCCACTGAACGGGGAGCCATCAATAGGTGTACGAGCTCCTGCAAATCCTGGTCTTCCTTGGCTGCTGTTTCACCATCACCCTCAGCAGAAGGTGGACTTTAATTAAAAGCTCTACCACCAAACTAAACAAAAACCCCAATTCACTGCCATTGAGTTCAACTCATAGAGACCCTATAAGTATACTCTGGTTTCTCTTCAGATCATACAAAAGCTCTAAATCCCCTTATTAATATGATGCCCAATGCTTCTCTAGCAGGTTGTAGGATGAGACATTTATGGAGCCTCCGAAAAGTGATGAGAAGAAGCAAAGATTAACCTCTGTAAAGAGTTAGTTCAACGCCCGCAGAGCAATGGAGAGAGAGACTTGTCCAAGATCGTATGTTTGGCTACCTGGAGATCCGAGATTAAAATCAAGTATGTTATTGCTTCCCGAAGGCAAGAACAGGAGACGATGGATTCTGTGACTCTGTGCGTGCTGTTGCGTTTCATATTGCTAAAACCACAGAACTAGAGAACGGTCCGTCTCCTGGGCATTCTTAGAAGGATCGCCAACCTGGGTTTTGAGGGACACATGCCAGGGAAACAGTGAATGGCACTGAAAGGCATTGTCAGAAAACTCAGGGGGGAAAATATCATAAGAAGCTTTGACACCAAAACAATAGGAATCTCTGAGGTTCCCATGACTCCATCCCGGGTTAGTATCCACATGTTTCAAGGCAACTGTCTTGCATGTCTGATGGGGGGCACGCCGATGATGAGATGGAAGGGTTGGCAGCCACCACTCAGGGGAGGGTGAAGGCGTCAAGTTATTTTAAGCACTGAGAGAAGGAGCCCTTTCTGACAGCACGTGAGGGCCTCAGATGACAGCTGACAAGACAGAGGAACTGGATTACTTGGCTGCTATGTACTATTCCACTAGGAATAATGTTGATGTTAGGATGGCTCACAGAAGTGAGTTCTCAGACCTCACAAGCTAGTCAGTAGGATGTTTTTCTGAGACTGTTTTAGCTGTGGCAAGGTAGTGGGGCTTCAAGTCAGTTGTAGGGTCTGCCTCTCTGAGCTATGTGAACTGTGGCCAAGGACTTAACTTCCCTGAACTTCAGTTTCTACCTAGCTCAGT